ATTCTTAGTATATTTTTAAGTCACGTTTTCAGTCCTTGTAAGGATTCAAAATCAAAAATATTGCACCAAGTTTATAATATTTTTAATAATAAATAGATACCAATGATACCATATTATTGGGAGGTCTATGGATATAATATGTAATTTAGATCTTACGGATTATTAGTACATTATGTTTTTCATTTGTAAAATTCGAATAATTTCATTTTTAATTTGATCGATACAAACTTTCATTGTAGCTTATTTATTACTGTGTAAAAAGGTTTATAAAAAATCTTTTTTTATTCATTTGAATAGTTACCTAATTAAACACATAGGATTTCACTCGATACAAATTAAAAATACCTTTAATCTAACTATACATCCTTATCTAGTGTATCTATTATAACATGGATAAATTTGTTCTAGTTTATGTTTGTCCTGACCTCATCACATTAGAACTAAAAGATAAGTATTGCATTTTTGTCTCCACATGCTCTAACCTTTATTATGCAATAATAAATTAACTTACATTAGAAACAAAAAATGCTTTTATGCAAAACACTATTGAAACAATTATGGACTTACAGACTTCAGGGGTTCGGGACAATTCAAAAATGACAAATATCATAAAAATCCTATCATGAAAACTTTTCAAAATATTGCACATAGAAAACTAACGAATTTTCCACCCTATGTATCAAACCATACACTTTATAGTTTATACCGACTTAAAACTTAAATCACTAAGTGATGAAGTGAAAATCTTTTATAAAATATTTCATTAATGTTTAATTAATCATCAAGTTCCACTAATAAAAAACTTGGCCACTACTACAATGAGTGGCAATCCTCCAAGATGCCTGAAGTGTAAATAGTATCATGATCTATCAAATTAAGATAATTAACAAACTAACAGAAAGTGTCATCTATATGTGGCTATTTTTTAACGAAATTCTCATTACCAGGTAATATAGTAACTTTTGTCACATTTTTATTGTGTCTGGTTACTGATACAAATTGTTTATATTTGTAAAAATAAAAATAAAAATAAAGTTAATGTTTGTGACATTATGTTTTAGGCATTTTTAAAGTTCTATTGATCAAAATATACTTACATTAAGCATTTCCGAGCTCGCAAAGACCGGCCGATATAATAGACTGCGGTACAACACTCATCTCAATCAAACACATACTTCTCGAATACCGACAACGTACCGAATTAAGATATAAGCATCAAATTCCAGAAACGCAACAATAAAACCTCGAACCTTCAACAAAAATCGTCAATATTCACTATAACATCAAATGCATATAAAACAAACTTATACCTCCGTCAACTGATTAAATAACTATGACCTTAGATAATGTAAACAATACAGTTTAGTAGGAATATATTATGGCACCGTTCTTGATGCCATAAATAATACGTGAAAAAAAATGTATGTCGATGTATATCAGTCACGTAACCCGTCGAAGGACCTTTGTGATTATTTACACGGACATTTCACTATGTTCATCCGTATCCCACTATCAACATAGGAGGTAATATAGTTGTATTTTATATTCACGATACGCCACAGGTAAACTATAAACTGTAAACTGTTAACTGTGAGACTTAAAATACTGTCGAGGAAAACATCTATAGCGATACCTTTTATGAGTTACGAAAAAATAATAATATGGCTACATGATATACGGAGTAGAGGTTTTTTACGTGTGTGTCGAATACTGCCGATAGATCAAAAGACTTCCCGCCGCCGTTAAGTCTCGATGGTCAATTACAGTGGTCCAGTAAAAAGGCCCAGCTATAAAGTATACTATTTTTCTACAGCACGAGGTAGGGGTGGGAATTTTCTCGAAATCGTACGAACGGCAGCCGCATGCGGAAATTGATGTTTTTGCAACTTTTCAAAAGAAATATGCACATGGCAAAAAAAAGGTTTTTTTTACCTGAAACCCATCTTTGAATTTATCCATTTGTGAGAACGTTTTTTACAGACGAAAGCTCACGAATAGCGCACTTCCGCGGTCCAAGAAAATATCGTTATTATTATATATTTATGAATTATTATTATTAGTAATATTACTTATGCTATTTTTTTTCATACACAAAATTAAAATATTTTTAGGTAAAATATTAATGAAACTATGGTTAATTTGTTTGTTTTTGTATTGCTTATAATTATTATTTAATTGGGGAAATATATTAATCGGTACTTCATCTTCTCATTAACAATATTTAGCTCAAATATCAGCTTAAATATTTAATTTTATCTAATGCTGTTTTGGAACAACCAAACTTCAAACTAACGATTGTATGTAGTATATTATAATATATGAATACAAATTAGGAAAATTACTTTTTTTTTAAATTAACTAAGTAGTTTATTATGTATAATACATATTACATATACTATATCAAACAACAGCCAGAACTATATACATATAGATTTGATATTTATATATATAATATATATTACCAATACTATACAGATAATGGTAATAGTTTTTTTTAATCCATAAAGATTCAAGTACAATAAGTATATTCATTGTGGGGATAAAAGTGAAAAACAAAAATGGGAATAATATAAATAAGAAGTTAAACAATAGTACCACCTTGAGATTAAAAGATTAAAAATCTTAAATAAATTTAAATGTATTTAAAAATTAAAGTTTATTTAAGAATAAAATGTTACTAAATACTAAATTCTAATAAAAATTAGTTTGTGTGTGTGCGTGGGTGCTGATATGAGCTTATGAATTTGTGTATGAATATATAAAATGTTTTCCACAATAGCAGACAACTTTACTATGGCTACTGAAAAAAAAACGACAACTCACGTTTAGGATATCGATAGAAGAATTTCGTATTGCAAGATATTGGATCTCACTGTATATCTTTGTTGTTGTATATTATACAGTATCGAATATCATCGTCCGTACAAGTATATAAGAATGAAATAAAATGAAGTTTCTTACACCCACGATTTTATGTAGGTACTTTTGTCTTGGACAAATGTTATTTTATTACCTACTAACTAATACACCAAAAAAGTTGTCTTTTATCGTGAATCTTGACCGGCTTGATTCGTTGAACCGCACTTAAATTATAGATGCTTGTTTATTGAAATTGTAAATCCCAACTAGAGCACATACACGTCTATAGATTATACGTGACTATACATGTGTACACAAACTAAGATCTAAGTTCTATGGTCATAGCATATGCATTTAGCTATATACCTATCTAAAGGTCATGGTTGAAAATCCTGATCATTAAAAATTTACAAACTATAAAATATTCGAATTCAACAGGCAATGTCCAAGATAGATTTGATATAAATTATAAGAGTTTTAAGATAATAGTTGGTAGGTATACGAACTGTCTAAAATAACTTTTTATGGTTTTTATGATATTTTTTTTCAATGAATATCATTTATATTCAGGTAACAATTCAGAATTTGACTGTACGAGGAATAAAACATTTATTTTTGAGTACATGAATAGTTTGTTATACCTATTGATGAGTACACTGAGTGTGAAAGTCAAAAACTCTTTTTGAGAAATAAGCAATAACTAATTATTTATCTACATACTTTGTTAATTACCACATTGTTTATAGTCATTGGATATTATGCACAGTCCAAACGCTTTATGATAAATCTGGTGAGTATCTATTATTGCCTCACAGGTAATTGCTACAGTAAATTAATGTTAGGTAGGCATCAGGTGTCCATCCCTAGGTAAAGACAAATTGCCACAAGCTCACAGGTCGGACGGGTAAAATAAATAGGTATCCGTCTCTCAGAATATTTACACAAATGTCAAGTATTCACGTTAGTCACAAGAAAAAAATGAAACAAACCGAGGCTTTTATATGAAAGAACCAAGTCAAAAGAGAGTTCAGAAATACTTCAACTGAAACAATGAAGTCCATAAAACTACAATTAATTAGTTGACAGAATTTCACTCAAAAGTATCATAATCACACAGCATGCACTTAATAAAACAATAGTGGTATACGGTACAATAATATGACACCGATTGTTCTATTAATGTATAGTGTAGGTACATACTAATATACTATGCTATTATATTCCAAAAGCAAAATGTATAACTCAGAAATATTAGCCACCTAAGGTTTTATAATCAAAGTTTTATAATCAATAATGATAAACGCACTATTCCGCATATTATTAGATTATTCTTTATTTTATAATCATTAATCAGTTCAAATGAAGTAGGTACAAAAATAATATTTTAATTTTTAATTACGAATTTCGAATAAACCGAATATGACAAAAATGTGGACTATAAGACTTTTAATGAATTTACTATGTATCTCTACGTAGGTACCTACACCAGAAGGATATTTCAATTTTCACAATGATATTTTATTCGTTGCAAAGTTATTTTCTACATGCAATTTAAGTGTACTATATTTCAAAACTTAAATGCACCAAGTTGAGTTATAACTATATTTTACATAGTATACGTAGGTACTAAATTTGTGTTATGATGAACATATTATTATATAGGTCCTTAGCATTTTGTAGGTACATTACATTATGGCATAAAGTTTATCTTAATGTTTTTATTAGGCCTAAGTATAACATTATAACACAGCAAAACGCACTTCAGCATGAAATTATTGTAACTTGATTTGCATAGCCCCTCCGTTATACACACAATTATATTTAACACAATTACCACAGAACCCAAAATCTTAAAACTAAATAATTCTGAACTCTATAGAACCATAGGAAATCAGTCAACGCCCCCTAAAATAGTGTAATGAATAGTAATGTGATATTCTCACATCAAATCGCAATTATTTTTCAAATGTGACGAATATTAGAATTAATAATAATATAAAATAAATAACGATCCGATATTGTCGTACGCACGAACAGTCGTCGCCAACGAAAATGTACAACAATAATAGACGAAATGCGGTCACTCATTATGAAAGCAACTCGTAAATCGTATCGTGTGACCTAATATCGTAAAAACGTACAACGTGTGTGACCTTCATCCGTGTCGATGGAGAAAAAATTATAATATGGCAGATAAATGAGATCTGCCATCAAAAATAGAGATATAAGCCGCCTGCCGCTCCTTGGACAGCGTACATGTATCGTTCTTTCCCCAGGATGCGTCTAAGTCCTGTGAATCTCCTGATTCGAGTGCGAGTACTGTGTGCAGCACCAAGTGTGTGCACCAACCTCCAACCTTAGGACGAGTTTTCCGATCCTGCAAGCAATCCAGTAAACGGAATTACCATAGTATAATTATACCTTTACCCATAATGTAGCCACCCATGTGTAATTAATCTATGCTTTTATACAAGTCGTGTACCTGCATCTATTCATACCCATATACTTCAATCGGTATGGGTATCTAGGTCAACCGATATTTTTATAGTGTATACATAAATTGTAGAATAAGGAGTATTTTCTCAGTTCTCAAGTACAGGTAGGTCTCGAGAGCCCTCCAGAAATCCAAGCATCTATGAGAAAGTGCTCGCATAATATTGTTACCCGATCACACTCTTCAGTACTTACAATAATATTATTTCAGAGATTCAATCTACTAAGATTATGCCATCATTAACTCTTTTAGTCATTTTTACGTTATTATAGATTAAAGCTAACACAGCAAAATAGAACCAAACACAACAAATTAAACACCAAAATTAAAGATTAAAAAAATCCCTAAATATATCAACAACTAAAATACTTAAGATAAAAAAAACTGTCCTAAAAAAAATATTGCGTTGTATCACAGATAAAAATTTAAAATATTCTGTTGTTATACCAAAAATATTAACTTTTAAACTATTTACATTGATGAAGATAAATAACATATCAATATCTAAATACAATGTATAGTATGTAATTAGTCTTTCACATGAAATCAGAACGCATTAAATCCTTTATAAGTAGCTGTATATATATAAGCAATAGGTAATAATAGTTTTAGAAGATTTTTTAAAAATATAAATTTTTTAAGTAATATTAGACCAACCTATGCCACATATTGAGCTATATTATATTGTGATAAGCAATCTAATTAGATGCTCGTGTGAACAATTTTTTTTATTTTGAACAATAAATAAACAATCGAAAGTCTAATTAATTTCTTCGAATTAAATCTGGATACGATATGAAATATTAAACACTAATAAAAATGCAAATTATTAAAATACAAATATTAAGAAACCAACTAAAATTATTTTCGAATAATAATAATAATAATAACAAGATTTTACGACATATTAATTAATTCATTAAATTAGGTTAATAAAAAAACAAATGCCACTGAATAATGCCTGAATCTATATAATTAGATACCTATAGTGGTTATTGAAAGGAAAATACATTGATTGAAATAGTCAGGGAAATTATTACAAACAAGAGTTTTTCATAATTATGGACAACATTATTAAATTTGATTAACACTGGTATGACTACTCACTAGTACGTTATTTTTCATCCTCCGGAGGCAGCAAAAATCAAAAGAATTTTGAAGTTAGTGCTGGTGGAAGGCTGGGTGAAGAACAAAGAGCTGCAGCAGTTGAGTCGCAATTTCGAAAGCTCTTTGATTTCAGCTCATTTATTAGGCTCTGAAAACACCCAAAATTATGAGTTTAATGACAATATAATATTATTGTTGATAAGTAGATAGCCACAAGTATGGTTTGTTATTATTTATAAACATCAATTAAAAAAGGTATCAATTCGATATCGACGAGTGTTGTCACGTTTTTATTTTAATGCAGTAGTAATTATGACGAAACGTAAAATATAACATCTCCACAGACACCTAATCGAACTTAGTGGTGAAGCTAAGGGAAAGAAGGGACCATGGGTGGATTATCCTCTTGGATTTTTTTATTGGTGATGTTTAAATCACGGTTAGAACCTATATATAAGTAATTAAATTAAATAATATTTAAAATCCCCCCCCCCCCTTGATTGAGCTCCAGCTTCGCTACTGCAACTATACGTAATCGTGGGTATTCTTTTGGCTTGTTGGTTTATTATTTATAAATTAAAGCGCCAATACGATTTAATGATACCCATACGATTTTAAATGTATGTGTACCACGTATTTACCACAAAACAGAAACTTAGGCGATTAGAAGTTTTTCTGAAATAAAAATAACCGTGAATTCTCTGAGAAGTACTTTATTGGAGTATATGCTATTACAAGAGAGTTACCGAGCAGTTGGGGTAACTTTGGTGTAATATTCATTTAACAAGAAATTTACTAGTATAGCCCCATTCATTCAATTTTAATGGGCAAATCGATATAAATATTTGTTGCTTTAATCAAAGTTTAAAAAAAAATAATCTGATAGCCTATATTATTATACCGAGACCGAACACTCGATGTTGGAAATTCGTAAGAAAAAAACCAACTCTGGTTCTTTAAATAAATAGATACTAACTAGATAATTTCCGGTCTTCAAATCCTTTAAATTACCTACCATACCAATTGTTTGAAATGAAAAAATAAATTATTAAATCCCCACTCCAACTTAATCACTAAGAAACCTAGATCAATGTGCGACTCATGCAACACCTCCCTTACAATTGGACACATAATCATCAACTGCCCCAAATTTGCATCTGCCCGTCACCTCTTCAAAAATGCTACGCCACTCGATAACGCCCTCAATAAAACCAACATCGCCAATATTTTCAATTTGTTCAAACTAATTGGTTTAGATGATAAATTATAATACTGTTGTATATAACATATGTTTTTTTTCTCTTTCCTAATATTGTATAAATACTTTTAGTTTGTAAATAACACTAGGCTACGCGATAGAAGTATTATTTTTTTATTGATATCAAATCATAAGCCCGACATCTGTAACCATTAATCATAGTTAAGTGATTTATAATTATTTATAAATATACTATAGTTCTAATAGTAACTAAGAGCTAATTTTATAATAGGTTTTTGTCTTTTTAATATTGCTTTATACAAGTTAGTTGATTTTAAGTTGATTTTAAGAAGGCCATAATCTTGGTTTTGTCCTCGGTTTCTGGTCCCAGTGCAGTATCAAGGATCAGATCTACTCCAATATTTTGTCGATCTCACTCGTTTTTTAGGCATTTAGTGATAGTATGATTCACAGTCAGTTTGACACCTCAGACTATGCATGTGGGTGCTTTTTAATTGGCCATTAGGTATTTGTGCGTAAGTCTCGCCTATGTCCAATTCCCATTCGATTTAGTAACGATTCTATTTATGTATATAATATTACTCACTAAGTACACAACTTTATGCTAAAAATTAAAATCATTATTGACTGAAATATATCTAACAGCTCGAAAAAAACAATATTCAAATTTTAAAACAATCAATATTTACGTATACACTGTACGCCTATTACGCATACATAAATCAATAAATTAAATTTACCTACATAAAACGTGGATAGTGGATACTCAGGGGATATGGTATTATTGCAAGCCTCCAATAGGTGTCCGTTTGAGCTATAATACACTGGCACAGAGCCATCACATAAAATATATGATGCACTGTATTATAATAATATATGGGTAGGTAATAATATTGAATGGATGAAATAATTTAGAATCTCTTTAAAGGCGTCATAATATTAACGTTGAGCAAAAAAAAAAAATTAAATCAAATAATAGTACGTCAATTAAAGTAAAAAAATCCGATGAGCTTCTCTTTTTATATGTGTTTATAATAATAAATAAAAAAAATACCTAATGACTATACATAGTTATAAATTAACCACTGAACCTCGTAATTCTACGTAGGTACCTACTTAAGTTTGAATAGGAATTTTATGCCACATTAGTTTATTGAATTGTATATAAAAAAAAACCTTCAAAACGATATAATATTATATGAGTCAATACAACCTACTTACGACTTTTCTACCACATATATGTATATATGTTATATATACTACACACCAATAATAGATGCAAATACCTACCCCATTTGCGATGGACAAGAGGAATGTAAGGCCAATCATGTACGAACCAATAAAAAACAATTTGTGATCCGAGCACGGCTGAAATAACACTACCATTTATACCGGGTATGTATACCTGAATAATATAATATAATATGCGTGAGTACATTCTTTTTCAATAGGTGAAATACCTTGTTTTGGCGTGGTATTAAAGTTCGATAAAAACTATTAACAGCCAGCCCTATAATTCAATAAAACTGCAATCAAATAATACTCTTAAAATTAAATTTCTAATATTTAATAAATAAATTATGTAAATATATGTGTATACATATACATACTTTATGTGTAAGCGAGTTAATTAATAAATAAATAATTAAATAAAATGTTCATTATTTCCCATTCATTATTCCACGCACGTCCGTTCTATCTTCGTAAATCACAACACAATATCCCGACAATGAGTTTTTAGTTTGCGCCTTTGCGGAACGATGAATAATAAACGTGATGAATAATATACAATGCAAACCGGACATCATAATAATAATTAGAGTGTTATAATACATATTTTATGAAAGTCTCCAAATCAATAAGCTGTTATCGTTACTTGTATTTTTACAACCGAACAGAGATCATAGGTACCTACGCACTATGTATACGAGTATAATAAGGTCTCACGTGGTTATTTTGTTTAGTTTAGTATCCAATAAATATCTGATGTATAATAGAAGCTAGTTGGTACAAATATGATTGATAAAATATGTATCTAAATACCTAAATATCATATCTTCAATGCACACTAAAATTAATGAAAAAATCGTTTTTACCAATATGAGTTTATTCCTTTTTTGTTGTATATCAGTAGACAATGAGGAAGACTAAGTATTTACGAAGGAGTTTTTAAGATACTCTTCAAATATAATTTTGACGATTCGTGGTGGGTTGAAAACCCTGAAGTAGAGGGGAGCGAAAGAGCTATAGACTTTTATACATCTGTTTTACGCCAAGTATTTTAATAGTTCGAGACTAAGGTTAGACTAACCTTAATATTATTAAAACAGATATATAAATAGTAGTATTCCAGCTAAAATCTTCAATATACGAATTCAGATATTTTTAACTTAAAATGTTGGGGAAATTTGTGAACCAACAGGCATAAAAGCAGATCCGATAAGTTAAAATTCCGTTTAACGTTTTCCAAAAACAAGAAGAAACGTTTGTAATTATTTTAGGAATGCATAATTATTTTTTTAAATGTAAACCAACAATAAAATAGCATCCCGCATTACTGAAGAAACAAATATGAATATTATTATAACGACGGATGAAAGTATGATTGAAGTAGCGGGGACACTTACCTAACCCTGAAAATAGAATACTACACCGTGTCTCAAGACGTTTAAAACGAACGGAAGAAAATGAAAGTGCGATAGAACTAAATCTATAAGTAAAGTAAATATTCAGTATGACATCGAAGAATTCCAAACTTATGAACAACAGGTTGAAATTTGAACAGACGCACCACTTAAAGCTAACATGGAAAATATCAAAAATTGTTCAACAAGAATCTAAAGATTAAATTAATAGACTTTAGTTATACAATTAAATATAGAAAAGAACCAAGTTTGTGATGCTATATCTAAGTATCTGTCAATAGACAAACAAATTACAAAAGAGAAGACATTTTCAGTTGAACAGATTAGGAAATAGTTCGCTACTCTACAAGGAAAATGTATAAACTGTAAATATGTTTTAGTAAGTACGAGACCATGCCAACGAAAAATTAACGAAAAATGGGTCAGATAAACAAAAACGTGTATCTAGTCTAAAAACATATTTATGTTAAAAATATAAATGTGCAAGTTTATTGATAAATGATACATTTTTTGACTATTACAATAAAGTTATTAAGAAAGAGGTACTCCCTGCCTCTTATAATAGACACTCTATAAAAGATATCACATACTATATTATCTATCGTAATTTTAACACCCCCAAAGTACCAACTAGATTCACTTTTCTACCCGAAAAAAACTGAAATGGAAAATCGAAGTAATTTTACTGCCTTAAAAGATGATGACAAACAGAAAAAAAATTTTTTTTAAATTTATAATAATACAAGTCAAGTCATAATAATAATAAGGTAGATTAGCATACAAAAAATTTGTTCTGGAGATTGGTTTATAGTTGATTAGAAACCCCAGTTTGGAAATAAATTAGTATCTTCATAATTTATGCGCCATTTGTGAGCCAGGTAACTGAAAAAAATAAGGGTTTTCGATACTCCCATTTTTATTATTGAAATTTGAAATTGCCCTGCTGTTTAGATTGTGTTTGGTAACTGCAATAAAACAACCCAATAACCATTATTAATTAGAGATATTACTTATTAGCTTAGTTATAACATCTCAGTAAGTATGTATGTGCAGGCAATTATGACTTGGGGATTAATTAATAATCAAAAGCGGCCAGTTTCCTTCAATATTTTTAATCGCATTACATTCATTTATAGGATAATTTTCCAAACTTTAAAATTGTTCCTCCCGTTAATTAATTATTATTTCTAAATATTATTTATAGTCGTTTTGACCATAAATCAGATAAATTATAATTATAATTCTATAACCATACAGTATACATATTTTAAAGTAAGTTACATG